AAACACCCCCTTAAAATTTCAGCTTTCTAGTTTTCCTGGCTCCTGAGTTAGCAACTTACTGGGAAAGAAATTTCACGGCCCCTACTCGGGTACCATGCTTACCCGGGGGCTGGGTTTGAGCTGCTTAATACCTACTTGGACGGGGAACATCGTCTTAAAGTTTCAGCTTTCTAATGTCTCAGATCCCCGAGTTATGAACTTACCCGGGAAAAATTTTGGCAGGCCCGTACGCGGGTACCACACGTACCAGCGGGCTGGGTTTCAGCTCATTAATATGCATTGCATAGCTGCAAAAAACGCATAATAAAATCTGAGCTCTGTTGTCTGCTGCTCAAAATGGCGATTTCTTGTATGTTCTTTTTATGCATTTTTGCATATATGCAAATGCAGAAACGCATATTGTGACGACCTGGTATGTGTATCTGTCTACCCGGGTATTTCAACTCGGCACCCAAGCAGGTTCCGGTGCCAAAATTTTGCTGGTGGGTTCCCTGGCCAACTGCCACCCCAGGACCGCGGGTATCAACCCTCACGCAAGTCTGGACCCCGCGTACGAGGGAGTAAAAGTTTTGGCGGGAAAATCACTAACTCGGAAATCAGAAAAGCTAGAAAGCTGAAATTTTGAGGTTATGTCCCCCGTCTTCATAGAACTCAAAGATTTCAAATTCACCCCCTAGGATTGCGTGGTTCCCGCGCATCGGGGGAAACCGGGGTCGTCGGTGTTGTGCTTCAGCGCCACGGCTCGAGTCGTCACCAAAGTAGTTCGCCATGTTTTTTATCTATATCGTTTGATATGTGCGAGTATTTCAGGGCTGTAGGGAGTCCTGTATATTTGTCTGTATTGGGTTTTTTTATGGTTGAATAAAGTTTTGTTGTTGTACCGGGTGCAACAGAATTTCTGTTCCCAACTGATTGAATTTTACATATTTTCCACTAATTTTTGTATTTTTTGGTTGAATTTTGCTTTTTTCCACTTATTTTTTCCACTTTTTTTTCGTTTTTAAAATAAACAGTTTAGGCGACTGCATGAGGGCACGGCGTCTTCTTTTCCTTTTTGATTCCGTTTCCGTACCTCGTCGTATATTTCAGGGATGAAACGAATCAGCAGTGTGTTGCTTCGAAGGAGGGTCTTATGCGTTCCGGCGGTGTTCATGTCGGGCACTGGAAAATGCCTGGAGCACCGTGTCGCTACAGTTACGCCGACAACAACGAACTCTGTAAACCTCAAATCAAACCGTTACACTCAGTCGATGAACGAAGGCACATCCTCGGCGCTGGCCGAAGAGGCAGGCTGGATGGACAAGTTGCAGTATGCAGCCGCTTGCTACCAAACGGTAAATTTTTTTCCCGATGCAATTTCTGGAACAGTTTTCAGGCTTTCGCTACCGATACAGCAGCAGCAGCAGCAGCTGGTAACTCTTCCATCCCTCCATCCGGGAGTGCCACGTCGGTTCAGCTCCCTGTAGGCCTGTAAGCGAGTCCTTCCATTTCACTTCTTAATTTTCATGATTTTTATGTGCTCGATAGATTTTCCTGATCGGCGCATGTAGTCCATGTCGTCTAAAAATGGTTGCTTTTAGAACGAGCTGATCTTGCTCACCACATACTAAGGAGCATCTCGAAGTGGCTAGTGCTTGTATCATGAAAACCACTGAGATGGTAATTTCTTCAAAAAGTGAAACGAACATCGGAATTGCGAGCAAGCTCACCAGTATAGATTTGTTCAGAGTAACTTAGGAAATAGAGAAGGTGCCAAGCTTTATGGATGGGGGAACTTGTCATGAATTAACAGCTGTTCCAGGTATTCCAAGTTATTTAGCTACAGAATCACTAGTTCCTGTGCTTCCAGTTTTTATGCGTTTTTTGCAGGTATGCAACGCAAAAACGCATATTGACGAGGGGTTGTCTGTGTGTCTCTGTGTCTGTGTATGCGTCTGTTACGCACTTTCATCTCAAGACCTATAAAAGCTGCAAGGCTGAAATTTAAGCTACGTGCACGTGCCGGCCCAAGTCTCCAAAATGAGCGCCATCACCCGCCTGGTACCCGCGTTTTTTTAGGGTAAGTTCGTAGCTCGAGGATCTGAGAAGATAAAACGCTGAAATCTTAGGGGGATGTTCCCTGTCCAAATGAATATTAACGAGTTCAAACCTGCCCGCGGGTAAGCGTGGTACCGGTCAGCGTGGTACCTACGTACGGGCTCGTGAAAGTTTCTCCCGAGTAAGTTGCTAACTCGAGAACGTGAGAAGCTAGAAGATTGGAATTTTGAGGGGATGGTTCCTGACAGTTATGGCGGCCAGTCTGAAATTCTTTTAGCCAGAAACATCTGCCGGAAAAACCAGTGCCGTTAGCGTTAAAAATCTGCGGGGAGCTATGAAAAAAAACGCATTTTCGCACGGGCAGCCCGTGCGTTGGCCAATTATTATAATGCATATTAGCACAGTGTAATTTTCTTTTTAATGCATGTATGTGTGTGTGTATGTATGTGTGCATATATATACATATACATACGTGCGCGCGCACCTCACGCATTTCTTAATTTATGACCTCACAAACCAAAGAACTGGAATGTTGGGAACTTATTTCTTGGCGCTGGTATGGTTTTGGGCATTTATTGGCACCTTCGCTAGTCTCCACTTAAGATCTCGAGTAGGTATGCACTTACTATGCATGTATGTTTCAAATTTACCTTTGAAGCATAATGGTTCCCGCGGGTAGAACTATGCGAATACGTATGCTTGCGTCGGTTAGCTGGTGCCCCTCTGTGTTCTGTGGTTTGGATGCTTTTGCAGTGGAGAATCAAAAATGTGCAAAAATCCCATTTTACTCATTTTCAGCACTATGCCTTATACGTTTTGAATTCATCCGCAGCTTACTTCGTCATAGGGGATCTGTCTTCTCTTAGAAGCACTTTGGGTTTTTGCTACCCTCGCAGTAGCTGCCAGCCGGTTTCTTTTGCCTTGTTGCCTGCAAACTTCAAAATTCAACACAACAAGATACGTAGGTTCTAGTGAGTTCAAACCCAGTCTTCAGGTATGTGTCGTTTTTACATGCGGGCCCGGGAAAGTTTTTTGCGGGTAAGTTGCTAACTCGAGAAACTGAAAAGCTTGAAGACTGGAATTTTAAGAGGATGTTTGCCGCCCACGTAGGTCTTTATGAGTTCAAACTCAGCCTCCAGTTATGCGTGATTACCATGTAGGAGCCCGTGAAAGTTTCATGTGGGTAAGTTGCTAAATCGGAAACCTGAAAAGCTAGAAGTCTGGAATTTTAAGAGAATGTTCCCGGTCCACGTGGAACCTAGTGACTTCAAGTTCTGCCCCTTGTTTTGCGTAGTCCTCAAGTGCGGGCCGGTGAAAACTTTTTGCGGGTAAGTTGCCTACTCAGGAACCAGA